TTTCAGCCTATTAATCACCGTAACGTTGAGAGAGGCTAAAGGTAAAAGGTTTTCAATTCAGGTAATGTTTTGGGCCACGGAGCAGTTTAACCATCACATTTGAGCTCTGTAAGACTGGTTGTTGTAATGAAAATAATAACTTCAAGTGTACCTTGGTGTCATCAAGTATTTCAGCCTATTAATCACAATAACGTTGAGAGGCTAAAAGTGCTATGAAAGCCATGTGGAAATTGGAATGGAGCAATGAAATTACAGCAATTACCTTCAAATGATTTCTTGTTTGTTGCATGTTCATCATCTCGTAGCAAATTTCTGCAGAACAGGAACAAGTACAATTTACAATTAGCAGCGGAATGAAAAAAAGAATAATGTTGATTTTTAAAAGCTTATTTTACTGAGTTTTTTAAAAGCAACAGCTTAATGTTTACGTAAACAATGCTGTTATTCACATGTAACCTCCATGGTATTGAAGTCAGGCCTGTGCTCACCTGGTCTGTCTGTGCTGATGTTGCCATAGATTGGATTATCCTGTTGCATGTGGTGATTGTGTTCATGAAAATAACGTCCTTCCTCCTGTGACGGGCTTCACCAAGAGAAACAATGAGATGGTTTATGTAGTTAAGACAAAACATTAGAAATTGAAATGTGTTGGACTGAGTAATATGCGGCTGACATGTTTAAGCCTGATTTTAATTTTTTGGGATAAAAGTCATACCCTTCTCCTTCAAAATTATGTGGGTAGCAGCAGTCATCTTTGTCTGTACAAAAAAATATGAAGCCATTTATAGAACGCCGTGTTAAAAGCTGAGTGGAGTTTGAAATCAACAGTGAGTACTTTTAAAAATGCTAAAAATATGCCACATAAATATATATATACTTTACATATAATCATACCTCTGCACAAAGAGGCTCTTCGTCTGATGGAGAGAAAGACATTGAGACTCATCGACATCAACAAGGCCAGAAATAATAGCACCAGACCAGCAAGTTCAAGAACACACTCTAAAAGATAAACAAACCGACCATTACCAGCTTTAAACACAACAAAAAAGTCAGTGAATTTCAAATGAAAGCTTTTATCAACCAATATGTGGAATTTCCCTCCATCTCAATAAACAGAAAGGATGAAACATTTTTAAAATGCGTCATCGATCGTGACTAACAATTACCTATTGTCTTAACTTCACGTTACAATTCTTAGAGATGGGAAATATGAAGAAAAACTCTTTCACCTTTAACAATTTTAGGGTCATTATTAAATTATCAATATATAATACAGTTATGTCTACGTGTAAATGTTTCCAAGATAATTTAACCTCTAGAAGTCAGTGTCATCTTGAGAGCCATCATATCGTTAATATGTGAAATATAGGCAATGTGTTATTTATCGGTCTCAACTAACATTATTATTCATAATTACTCATAATTAATAATTCATACGTAACATCATTGACACATTTCACAGGAAATTCATTTTTCACATTGGAACCTCAGCTTTGTTCAGTAAATCATTTGAATTATATGTTATTAAAAGAGAAATTTAAATTGCTTAAAAAAAGTCTCACAAGTGTTTTCGAAACCAAAATTGTTGAACGTACGTACTGTGACACAAATGAAATAAAGTTACGTGCATAATCACCATTTTGTTCTCAGGCACAAAGTCAATATTTACACTGACATGTACATCATCACATTGTATTAAGTTTGAAAACCTAAACGCAATTTAAGAAGTTCCAAAAGATGCTTGCGATCTTACCTTGTGCCATATTCCAGCTGTCTTGAACAAAGCAGGTTGTCTGACGTGAGTGCTCTCAGGCTACAGGGCATGGCTGTGTTAAGTCAATGAGGTGTGCTGCATTGTAGTCTATTTTTACTTTGCCATAGTTACTTGTCAGTACTTTGAGAACTGGCTGCTCTTCAGTTACAAACAGGAAACTATGTAACCTCATCCTGAAGCACCCAGTCTCAGTTCAGAGATAGAAAACAGTTTGTGCCATCTAACATACTTACATACGAAAGGAACTCTAATATGAACATTTGCACATTTAAACATTTCTGCACAAAAGAATAGAAATGCAACCAAAAAAAAAGCAAAAAAAAATTTCCATTTCATTTTCCGTAAAGATTTATTTTATATTTTTAAATTATCTATATCATCAAATGCTCCGACCATAAAGCAAGTACAAAGTTAAAAAGTATGTTTGGTCTCAGGATAGTGGGAGAGTGTTTACCTTAAGATGAATAAGAAGCACACATGTATTTGTTTTAGGTACAGTACAGTTGACCTTAATGCATTATGTGAACTGTCTTTGTGCACAAACCTCACAGCTGTGCACATGAAGAATTTATAACTTGCATACACACAATGCTTTGTTGTTTCTACTACTGTGATTGGAAAATCAGCAGAAGAAAAGTTGAAACTAAACGTCTTTGTGCAGCTAAACTACTCTGGTGTGTGTAGATGTATGTATGGACGTTTTTTTAAATCAAAATAACTTAACAGAAAAATTATTTTCACACTGGAATAAAACAAAAGCACAAAATTCTCAAAAATATAAAAAACTTGCTCTGTTTCAAATGTGACCCATTTGTTAAAAGGCTGTGATTGGAATCAAGCAGGTGTTACATTTGGTGGTTTGTGGTTTAAGCCTCACTTTGTGAAGTTGAATGCCAACCTGCGGTACCTGTGGACAGTGACCATTGATATAAAGGTGAATTTGTGACATACACTGGCCTCCAATTTGGAAATTCTTCATCAGATGAAAGTTACAGCTTTAAACAGCAGAATTAGCAAATCAGCTGTGTAACGTTTGTAGAGTTTTATGTTTCAATGTTATGTTTCTATGCAGATAAGTCACATTAGCACAGTATGATAGCTACAAGACTGTCAGAAGAGAAACACACACAGCAGCTGAGGTGTAAAAATAAATCCAGAATCAAATGAAACCAACTTTTATTTTCACATTCTAGAATCTACACACATAGTGAATTTTAAAAGATTTAATACCATACGAAATATTTTAAAGCATTTTTTTCAAAAATACAAAATATTATTTATACATAAAAACATAGAACCAACCCCACTCACCCATGATACATTATCCACATTTGCTATCGGTTCATCACATCTGAAAACTAGAATAGCACTCAGTTGAGCACATACTTCAGCCAATAGATTTTTTAAATTAACTAATTATGTCACAAGTGATTATCAAATCTGTTCAGTAATATTTGCATAATCCTGCTGAGAAACCAACCAACCAACAAATGGACAGCGGCTAAATTGTAACCTCCTTGGCCGAGGTAATAATACATCGTGTTATTCTACACTTCAGACAAAAACCCTATATCTAATTTATCAACTGCTTAGTGATTATATGTTAATACACACTTGGTCCATGTTAGTAAGTTCTGTTACTGAGTTACACCTTGAGGTGGGTAAGTTATGTGTATAAATGTCACGTTGTCTTGCAGCGGTGTACTTCACTGGAGGAGGGGGGGGTTTAAACGGAGGCGGCAGATCCATCCTATAGAGAGAGAGAGAGAGCACAGATTGATTAGTGGCATTGCTTAGAAAGTTAGCTGTACCCAGGAAGCAGGGGAGTGTTACAAGTCGTGTGTATCTGTCAGAAAATACGACAGCCAACATTTCTCCAGGTCTTTCAGGGTCACCCCACTGCTGAATACATGAAAGCAAGAGATTTACCTTTGTTCTAACAGCCGTTTCCTGTACAGAAATCCAGCCACAGCGATCAGTACCAGGACCGGGATGATTATTAACACAGCCAGATAACTCGGTGCTGCATCTAAGAGGGAGGAAAGGTGTCGATTTGTTCGGCAGCAAAAGCTAAGATATGTGTTTCTACGATATTGATCGGTTTGCTCTGATGAATCCAGCGTACACAGATAAAAAAATTTAAAACCACCAAATGAAAACTTTTGCCTCGAGGCAGGAAAGTGTCTGCTTCCCCCTCAGCTGGTCACTCAGCCACTAACATGCAGGAGCTGACTCTCTTTTTAAATGAGTTTTCTATCTCCAAAAGGCATCTAGCCAGAGGCATCTGACAGAGCTGGAATCTATAAAGCCTCCATGAAGATTCAGAGTGTGAATGTGAATATTAGCCAAAGTGTGAAAGTGAATATTAGCCACAGTGTGGATATGAATATTAACCACAGTGTGAAATACACTGTGGTTAATATTCATCTGTAGTTTTTAAGGAGTTCTCGTTATGTTTGTAGTTTGTATTTGCTGCTTTTAAACGATTTCCATTCGGCTGCATTAAAGCTGCTGCTTCTCTAACCTCGATAACCACTAATAAAGCTAATAACACTGCCGGTTCCAGAGCAAATGATATGACCCCCAAACAATCTGAGAGCATCGGTTAAAATCCAGTTAAAGGCAAGAAAGGCAGAGACAGTCTAAAGACTAGTAGTGTATCCCATTGCTGATAACATAGAACGTTTTTCTTCCTTCAATTGTACCATCACTTTTTTTGGTTAGCGGTCACAGATTTTATCCTTGAAATGTTCTATTTCTGGAGGGAAAGTATTTCTCCATTATTTGTGAAATATTACGTTATTACCTTCAACTACCGTTCCATTATTTCCAGCGTTCAGTGTCGGGGTTGCAGCAGGGCGTTCATAGTTTTCTGTAATATTTCCAGAGGTGCTGGACTGGACTTGTGGCCTCTTTGAGGAAATGTCCTGGTACTTGTACGCCTCATCTGTGGCCATTTCCTGTGTGGATGTGAACACTGCACTACCAGGACTTAATGTAGTAGAGTGATAGGGGTCAGTTTGTGTGACAGCAAATTTTGTGGCACTGAAATGTGTAGGACTTGTAAAAGAGGTTACATCCTCTCCAGGTGTGATCACATCTGGACTATCATCTGTCACATGTGAACCGATAGCCGTGGTCCAAGTTACATTGGCGTCAGTGGTTAAAAGCCCAGTGGTCAGTGATGTGGGGAAGCTGTTGTCTGCGGGTACTGAAAAACTCTCTGTCTGCAGCAACACTGTTGTGGGATCTGCAGGAAGTAAAAGGCAAATGTACATTATTACCTGGAAAACTGCACATTGCTTAACAAACAGTAGCCTGTACACCACATGAGAATCTGTAAGTGACTTGCTAGCAGCGATATTTTGTTAATTAAAAAGATAATGGCTTGATTGGACATCTAGGTAAGAGTTAAATGCAAAATTTAATGTCACTCATACAGATGCAGAAACAAACAGCTAGCTGGGCTCTGGATTCCAGAAACCTCTGCCGTGTTATTTCATATAGTAGAAGTCGTCCATTATGTACAGTCCGTTATATTGTGATTTTTCAATCTGATTAAAAAGGGAGGATTGTATTTCTTCATCTGAAGCAGTCATCCGTTTTACACTTCTTTTAAAATGTTTTTCTCAGAATTGTTTGGAACATTGTTAAGCTGAATATAAAGTTTAAGCGATGCACCTCTGAACTTTAAAATACATAGTGCACAGTCATCCATCATCCAGCATTTATGAGCACTGTGCATAATCAATACATAAAATAAGGTGAAGCGCTCATTCATTCAAGATCCTGGATTATGACGTCATGGACACGGATTCCTGAGATACAAATTAACATTTGCATTTATTGCAAATCCAGCAATGCAGTTGTTTATGCACTCATGAGTAATGTCCATAATTAATCGGTTGTGTGTCTTTTTTTCCCCACAATATTTCCCCCCATACTTACACCAGAGGTTCGTTATTCTCAGCTGATAGACGCATCTGCAACTACGTCAAATTTAGCTGATTTACAAGCATATTTCAAAATTGTGAAAATTCTTCTCCTCCTCTCAAACCTCATGGCTGTACTACTCCAAACTGTCCAACAGATTGTGCTGTCACCCCACATCATGACTCTGATGCTGATAAGAGGTTTTGTTCTTGTGGTTTGAAAGTAGACAGAAAGAACAGGACGTGACTTCTGACGTCTGTGTGTGGCTTTGGTTTTTTTTCCATTTTGGTTTCACAGTCATATTCTCATAAAAACATTTATACAGGATGAGAAAGCAGACAACTGGGGATTCTTTTCCTACAGCCCACTCACACACATTGCACCACACGAAGCTATATCACTATTGGGGGCAAACAGTATGCAGTTTGGTTTTTGTAATTTAAACTTATGAACACTGTTTTATTTTTGCATAATTCTGTATCTACCCTAACCCCATGGGGCAATTGATTTGCAGCAAGTAATTGATTTTTTTTCCTTCTTTATTTGTTTTGTAGGTCCCAATTTATTCACAATTTCTGCTGCTTTCTCATAACATGGCTGGCAGATTCAAAATCTCTCTCTTTCCTCCCAGCTAATTAAAAATTAGAATTGAGTGAGCTACAGTATAATAATAAAAGTCAAGTATGAGCTCTCTGGTCCAGTGCAGTTTATTAAGTTATTCAGTCTCTTGGGCCCTCTGTAAGATTGTTAATCCAGCCCTGAGGAAATGCTGAATTAAGTGTGACACAATGAGAGAAATGTAGAAGCTCACCTGTCTTTAAATGTGTGGTTGCTCTTTGTACTGCGATGGTAAACTCTTTATGCACAGTTTCATTTCCTGTGTTGACAGTCAGTATGTAAACTCCTGCGTGAGCATCAGTCACCCACAAGAGCTGCAGAGACTCATTCTCTGACACCAGCTCCTTGTTCTGTGAAAAAATAAGAAACAACAAGATTATGTAGCACATAAATCAGATTTTTGAAATGTAGATTTTGATGTCAGAGGTAATCAAATCATCTTGAGGTTCACTGGATGTGTAATTGAATAAATAAACAAAATAATGAAAGTGAAATCTACCAGAATGCTGTAAATGGTCTGATTAACTATGTTTTATGATTTCTGTTACCTTGGTCCATCTGTACTGTGCATTAAGGGATGCTTGGCAGTGGATTGTCACATTTTGTCCATTAGAAACTTCTAAACTGCCGTCCCTGTCGCACATTATTTCAACATCTAGCGGACAAAATGTAGGATTAAAATGAATCCTGGACAACACAAGGAAGCTTATGGAAAACATTTGCTGTGACACGATGGGTGGTATCTGCTAAAGACAACTTTGGCATCTATGCTTTTACACGTGATATACAGCACCTTCAGTGTCCTCTGCCTGTTATCATAAGAACATTCCTTCAGTTGGTTGATAGTAGATATAGAAAAGGGAAAGTTGTGTATCGGAAAATCTACAAAGTTGTGGAGAAATGGTATGGCAATGCCCGTATAGGACGTGGGACAAATGGAACATCTACAAGAGCGTTTTGACTGAGGTGTCAGACAGTGCTCGGCGCCACTGCCGTCAAAACTCCAAATGAGGAAATATCTTTCAGAAGAATGATGCTGCGTCTCTCCAGTGGAGTTCAGAGACTTGGGGAATCAATGGAGAATTGAGGCAATGGGGGGGCATGATGGCCCAACACCTTACTCAGACACTTCATGTTGGGTTTTTTTTCCTTTAATTTGTCTCCCATCTCTACATTTGCTTAGAAGTAAATAACTACTGAGATTGGCAGAGCCGCAATGCTCTGATGCAATCTGGAGTAACATGAAAAATATGCACTTGACAATAAGATGGAAGTTAGCTGTGCAAGTCTTATCCGAATATTAAATCCTACGAGGACGGCAGAGTTTGTTTGAGGTGTGCAGGTGCGACTTTGCCTTCGTCTTCTTACCTTTAATCTTTAGCTCTGTCTCCCTCCTGAAGGAGCCAAGTGGAAAAGTTGCAATATCACAAATATAGATGCCGCTGTCCCATTTTTTCACTTCAGGGAGGTGTAGATAGGACCCCATCAACCTGTTTGCATTCTCAATACGTATAGTGACATTAGGCCAAAATAAATGAACTCCATTGCCTTGACTGAACAGAGCCAGCTTTGTGCTATTATTGTTTTTCTTCCTCCATTCAATATTGACAAGCTTGAGATCAGGCAGGCTTTCTATGGTACAGGGTAAGGTGATGTTCTGACCCACCACTGCTTCTGTTGTTTCATAACGTGTCCTCTCAACATCATGCGGGAACCCTGTTAAGCATATCAGTTGTAGTGTTGAAAGCAAAGCAGAGTGAGGAGACAAAATCGCTGACATTGAAGTTAGTAATATAATACAGACTGTGATCCTCTGGGATGCAGGCAGATAAAATCATAGAATTATACTGAGGCAGCTTATCACACCAAAAGCCAGAACGCATTTCAAACCCATGGTGAATATCCCATCTTTCCTGCTATATTATATGAGCGACAGAACATGATTACCTTGTATAATCGAGGCATAGAGAAGGAGTGAGAAGGCCGCACCCAGTGCAGCTCCAGCCACGTTTAAGCTCCCGCAACTCATTACGATCAATCAGGCCAAATCCATTGAGGGATTCAGCAAAAGGCAGAACAGTAGACTGTCGACTGAGTTTGAAGTGTGCAGCAGAGACTGAAACAGGATGACCCATCTCCACAGGAAGCCACTCAGAGACACAGTTTCTGTTTGCGGTGTGTACAGATGCAGTGCTTGTGATTTATTTTTTCAGTCAGTGCTAAATAACAAGATCCAAAGTATAGACTTGTTTGATTTCAGGTTATATTGCTGATTACATCGAAAGCTTCTTTAAGAAAAATGCAGGGGGAGTGCATTCATGTTACTTCAAATCAACTTCTCTTTCATTCATTGATTCATTTTAGTCACACACAGGTTTAACAATCATAAATCACTTGAGATTAAATAATTTTGTATAAGTGTATGAACTGTATTTTGGAATTAAAGCATCACTATGAAACGTTTCCTTAGCCACAGCGCTCTCTGCAGACACACCTGCTGACTACTTCTGTTGACCCATGATCCTTGGCTTCCTGAACCAGAAGTGGAACAAACACACAATACTCTGTTTAGAAGTACTGAATATTGGAGACAAACCCTGGTTTTTAAATGATCTACAGTTAAGCTTTACTCTTGAACTCACTGGGCCTGATTCCGACAATTGAAGCAGAGACAATAAGTCGTTTCCGGGATGAGAATGGAAAAGAGGAAATTAATGAAAGTGGCACCATTCATTTTATTCTGTTCCAAGTCAGTGAACCATCGAAATCATTTGAAGCTGCTATTTTAAGGTAAAAAAAATTATTATAGTGTTGCTTAAACTCAAAAGTCACTGTGTTCTCTTAAGTGAATTATTACACTCAAAAAAATATTTGAGAATATTTTGTATCTATTTCTTTTAGCTTCAGCTGTTGATCAATACTCCACAGAAAATAAATCCTTGAAATCTTCGTCTCCCCTTTTTCTGTTTATCAGAGGAAGGACATTATTATTTATATGTAATAAAGATAATGCAGCTTATGAATTTGATAGCTCAATGTTCTCCGGGCTTCCGCCTGCTCTTCTTTGTGGTGTCTTTCACAATCTAATTCTATTAGCTGATCAGAAAGGAAGCAATTTGAACTTTTATGAGCTTCACCAAACAACATGCCGTTACCTAAACAGCTTGTCCAACTTTCATTCTTTCCATCTCTCCCTCACCTATTATGAGCTCTTCCCCTTCATTTATTATGAATCGTCCCTGTAGAGCCGGCCTTCTGCATTTAAATGATTGATCATTTTACAGTTCTATCCTGTGTATGACCTTTTATAAGTTAAATTAGGGCTTAGAGTGTCTGCTATCCATTGAGAGATTTCTATCAGTATTCTGCCAGTGTTTCATCAAATTGTGAGGGGACCTTGCTCCATTGCTCCATTTGATAAGGGCAGCATTACTTCCCCGGGGAGTCATGCTCAATGATTTTGACAGAGTGTAACATCCCCATGACTTCTTCATTGAGGGGTCCGAGAAGGCTTTTGGCCCGATAAGCACCGTTTTAGCTTCCAATCACGGACAGTGTTCCAGACACAAAACTGTGAAAGGGAATTATTCTCTCTCACAATTAAATAAAAATGATGAACATGAATTACTGGCTCTTCTCGCTAGTTTTTCCTCTCTTGAAAGAAAGTGTTGCAACCTGCTGGTGCACCCTGCCCCTCCTACACACGCATGATCCGCACTGAGGTCACGTTGCTCTGAAAGTCTTGAGGGTTCCCAGATCCCGCTAAATATGACAGAGTGTAATTTAATGCCACTCTAAAATTCTAACCTCCTGACAAATGATTATGAGGTCGTATTTATCTGATTCTTGCACATCATACAGTATTGATTGTGCTCCACGTGATGTCGATCTCAAACTGGGAGAACGACCTTATATAATGTTAAAGGATATCCATGCGGTCGGCTCATTAAAGATTAACTATTCATTCTCACTGCAGGCTAGAAACTTGAAATTATTTAAAGCAACAAATGGACTATATGGTGATTTTCCACATATCGACCACTCAAAGTTTCATTCACCCATTTTTGAAGCATTCACACATCAGTCACACAATTGGGGGTTCAGTAACTTTTTATTTTGGTTTTCTTATATTTGTCTCACATCCACTTAGCCTGTGATATAACTTCCGGGGGGCGAACAACATAATAATAACACAAAATTGTCATTACATGTCTTGTATTGGCCACTTGTAATGGATCATGATTTATTTTTGCTGTTTGCTGCATAAAGTAAAGTAAAACTCTGTCAAATTAGGTCTTTAGCTTGTGTTTTGTTTGAGAGACCCCTAGTGGACCAAGTTACATATTGAACATTTAAAAAAGGTACTCAGTGCAGAATACACCTGTTTTTTTTTTTTTTTTTTTTTACATACAGACTATATAGGCAATTCATTCATTTACTTTTCTGCTCTTGTCCCTCACATACTATAACTAAGACCAAAACTGGGGAGCCTTACTAGTGGCCCATATGTGAAGAACAGACAATCTAAATGATGAGAGTTCCGCTTCAAAATATCTGACCATGTATTTCAGACAATTTCTATTATTTCTTGCAATTTATGTAATAATGTTTTGATAGATTTTTGATGATTGACCTGGTCTTCGGTCAATGGCTCAATATGTCACTGTTTCAAAGAAACATTATAAATAAACATATGCACCTACACTCGAATTAACTACACTATATTTTAATTGTTACACATACAGATGGCCCGTTTCCTTTGCCGACAAGAATAGAGTGTAGAATTTTATGAGTAGTGTAATTTAAATACCCATTTGTGCACATCTAAGTTCAGGAACACTACCATTAGCCCGAGATTTAATGCCGTTCCAGAGAAGGACAGAATAAGATGATGATCATTTTGCTTTTTACTTTTCTCTGAGGATGAATCAAGTTAACAGTCCTCTATTTATGTAAAATTATTCTGGCTAGATGACTGTAAAAAATGGAGCTGTCCTTCCGGAAGGGACATTTTTTTTGCATCGTATAACACAAATTATTATTTGTAATTTTGTATGAAATGTTTGACCACTGCGAGTGCACTTTTGGTGTCTTGTAAACCCAAGAAGATTGGGCACTTTGTGTGCAAGACATGAAAGAAAACACTGAAAGAAAATTGAGATAATCAGTGGGGTTGAGGGGGATAGTTCTGGGTAATCATGAGCTCATCTACACCTTTAGAATTTGTTATGATTCATAGATGACACCATTATAACAGAGACTGACTCTATAGACAGAAATATAATGCAAACACTGCATAACCAAGATCTACAAGTAACAGAGAAGCAAAACAATTGAATATATACAATCACAAACTACAGATAGCCTCTGCGTATAACACAATTCGAAATAAGATTGTAAGAAAATGCAGTAGTACACTACACTCTCATTCACAATCTCTCCCTGACGCACAGAAACATTTTCTAAGCTTAACTTAGAAACACACTGTTGGCTGAATTTCTGTTTTTCTTTAAAAGCCATCAAAATGCCAGTTTAGAGCTGATAATCCCCAATTATCCCCTGGATATGAATAAAATATCTCTTTCAAACAAAGCATAGAAGGTGAGTAAATGTGAATTTGATGGCAATGGAGAATTGTGAATGCAGAAATGTTTTTTTTTTTTTTTTATTCCAATGCTGTTCTGCCCTACAAAAGAAATTGAATCTGGCCACTTTCCTCCAGTAGTGAAGAGGAGATTAGTTGTAAATCTGAAATATATAAAGCTGCTCCAACAAGTCAGATTTCCTCTTGGTGAAAATTCTTTTGTTTATCTTAATTGCCTTTGTTTGCTTCCTTCTCTTATCACTGTTTCATGGAATTACACTCAACTCCAACAGCACGAATAGTTTCTGAAATTTGTTGTGCCTCTGTTTGTTAGTTTATAGGCTTGAATAGAGTCAATCTGAATTTGAAAATCGATGTACAAACATATTAATAGCTGACACTATATCTTAAGGTACGACAATACTATTCCATTCATTGTATGACGTGGAAATAGTGGAGAAAAAAAAAACTCCTTACATGATTGTCTCCGGGCTTCTTTCTGGAAGAAGTCTCCTGGGAATGTGATTTAGTGCAGCGAGGAAGAATTAACCAAACAGATGAGATCCTCAGGCTCCAACTGTTCATTCCTATTACGAGATGCACGGCTCCATGCCGTGTTCAACCCTTTACTCCAGTGTACTTTTTTAATGTCTTCTCCATCAGCAGTCAGTTGATTTCTCGCTCTTAAACGACATCGATTGATTAGTGTTGAATGGTCCTAAACTCTCAAGAGACAGTCTTACCCACACGTGGAATTGCTTAGTAGCCATAATTTATGACCATTCTAAGTGCATGCTTTCTCGAGAGAAGCTGAACTGCTTTTAATTAAGACAGCTAATCTTGTCAGGTGGGAAATATCCTCAACATTGAGTCAAATGGGTTTAAAATAAGAAAGAAATGAATATGTGCAATGTGAAACGAGTTACTTATTATTGTGTTGAATCCACAGACACTATTCAGAGCCTCTTAGCCTCTTGCTTATTTACTGTATGGTACAATCGGATTGCTCTCATCAAGCCCATTTTCTTTAGCGTCAAGCCAATTGAACACTACCTGCCCAGCACAAAGATCCACATATTGTTTTCAGGATTTAACAAATAAAAGTAGAGTGAAAATTAGACTTAAATGTTTAATGTGGTCAGAATAAGATTTGCTTATGTCACTCTGTGCCTGCTGGAGTGTGTAGCTGTAGTAACAGCTTTAATTGTGTACGCTTGTATTTGGAGTAGTGCTATTTTACTTTGTTCCAGTCTTTGGGAGTGTGAGTATGTGAGAAGTGTCTTACCTGCAAGTGTAGCTGCTTAGACATTCATGGAAGTCTGGATAATCTCCTGAAATTACCCAGAGTGGCTTTATGAGAGAACGCAGATGTCCGAATCAGTTGCTCCAGACATTCTCTTGTGTTTTTTTTCCTGTCAGCCTCCAAGTAAAAACTTTGGAAAATGTGTGAGTGAGCCAATATCAGTCTGGGTAATGTCTGAACTCAATTGGTTGGATACTGTCTGGAAGCAT